TTCAAATATCTATAGTTTATTAGTCACATTTTGATGATTGACATGTAACTTTTAGGAAGAAAATCGCATTTTTTCAGAAGGTTATATATGATCTACAGTACATTCAATTTAACACAATTCAAGTTCGGCTTATGTTACTTAGCTAATTTTATTTGCTAAAATAGGTGAATCAAGAAAAGTGAAAGGGTGGATGGATAGCAACAAGAAAATGGCTATTGTGAAGACAATATAGGTTCATTCAATTTAACACAATCTGAGTTTGACTTATGTTACTTTGTTATTTCTATTTGCTAAAATAAACAAATTGAGAAAAGAGAAAGAGCAGACAGATAGTAACAATGATGATAGCAAATATAGTGAAAATAATATAGGTAGATTCAATTTAACAAAATCTGAGTTTGGCTTATGTTACTAATTCTTATCAATTCTATTTAAAAAAATCGAAAAAAAGAAAGAAACAGGCAGATAGCGATAATAATAATGGCAAAGATAGTGATAGTGAAATTGAGATACAATCAAAAAATATTTCTAAAAGAAAATATATTATTTAAAAATTTTTTTATTAAAATAAAGCCAGGTTAATTTAAACATATTTAATTTAATTTAGTTAAATCAAAGCAGTTATAGTTGAACATGGTTTAAAACTGATTCAAAATATATCAAATTGGTTTCAAATTGTTTTGTATTGAATCTAAATTGGATTTAGATTTGGATTGGATTGAATCAAATTAAATTCGGATTTGAATCGGATCGAATCAAATCAAATTCAGATTCAAATCGGATTGAATAAAACTGTTATAGTTTCGAATTGGATCAGATCAGTTTAAAACAAATCGGATCCATATCCGATTCGTATTTATAAAAACTGGATCAGATCGAATCTAGTTAAAATTCGATCCAATTCGATCCATTGTAATCACTAATCAGGATTATTGCTAACAGTTTGTTACTGTTGATTGCTCAAAAACCAATAAATTGATAAGTTAAAAAAAAGAAAGAAAAAAAATAATTTGGAAAAGGTAACAATTCAAGACTCATAAAAAAAATCCAAAAATAAAAACAATCTCTTCTCAAAAGAGATCTGCCTGATTGGGATAGTCTTTTTACTTTACTTGAGCCTCAAAAGAAATATTCTTTTTTATTACTTGCAGCAGCAGATGAGTCAATATAATTGATCTTTTATTTAAATAAGTACCAGATTGGAATATCTCAAGAAAAGTATTTAAACCTCAGCTTTTTTCCATAAAGCTTTGTCACCATTTGAGAAACTTAGGTAAAAAATGGAAGTTTCCAATTCACATTATTCATTACTTGGTCTTTTGATGTTATGGAAGTTTTTATTAAGAGACTTGAGCTTTTTGAGGGCAAATGTTTCTAGAATTTTCTTTTCAATTACCAATGATATCATTAGAACATATGAATATAATTAATAAGAGCTTGTTTACATTTCAAAAACTAACATGTTTTGTGCCAGCCAATTTCCTTTTGTGAGAATTTGTGTTACCAAAAATTCAGGATCAAACTAAGGTAGACAAAATTTTCCAGAAAACTATAAAAGCGATAGCTTTAAGAGGTCTACAAGTGACTGGAAGGGGAAAAATAGGACCTTCTGTCATAAAAAACCTCTATATACCTCTTTCTTTAAAGATTAAATAAGTTTTCAGGTACTTTACAGTTAGTTCTTCTTCCTTTGGGAACTTTCATACCATTGGTATCAAATGTGTTACTTGACTTTTCTTGATCACTTGAAGTCAAGTTTTTGAATAAAAAGATTTGTAAATAAAAGGAAAAACATAGAAATGACTTTTGAAGTCATACTTCAAGTTATTTTAATGAAAGTATTAAGACTTTATTAGTAAAGAAGTATAGAAACTTTTTGCGAATATTTTTTTTATGTGTAGTTAGAGAATCAACAAAAAGAATTTTATATTCTATAGGATTATTATAAAAATCAAGTAACAAAATATAATAATAGATGATTTTATAAGATAATTTATTAAACCGTAAATAGTAAAATAATAGTTTACTAATAAATAAAACAAAATAGAACAAAAAAAAAATAAATTCAATAAATTCAAGATTAACAAATTTATATATAGGATCTAGTTTTTTTTTTTTTTTTTTAATCTATAATCATGTTATATAACTATTTACTATTTATAATATTACAGATTTTTCACATAATGACTAACTCATCGTTATACCAAAATACTTTAAGTTAGATCTAGAGAACAATATTTCACTCTCTTAGAAAATTGATATATAACCTCTATTTATTAGATTTATTGTCAACAGTTTGTTACTATAGATTATTCATAAATTATGAATTGCTAAGTTAAAGGAAAAGAGAAAAAATAAATTGGAAAAAGGGAACAATTTAAGATCCTATTAAAAAATTTCAAAAAAAAAGCAATTCTTCTTTCAAAAGTAATTTGCCTGATTGGGATAGTCTTCTTGCTTCTTTTAAGTCTTAAAAGAAATCTTCTTTATTACTACTTGTAACATCAGACAAATCAATTCAACTGATCTTTTATTTAAATAAGTACTGGATTGAAATATCTTAAAAAAAATATTTAGATCTTAGTTTTTGTCTATTAAAGCTTTGTCATCATTTGAGGAGTTTAGGGAAAAGATAAGAATTTGCAATTCATATTATCTATCTTTTAATCTTTTGGTATTATGGATGTCTTCCTTAAGGGACTTAAGTTTTTGGAAGGTAAATATTTCTGGAACATTTTTTTCAATTATCAATAACATTATCAAAAAACATGAGTGTAATCAATAAGAGCTTGTTTATATTTCAAAAACTAACATGTTTTGTATTAGTCAATTCCTTTTAGTAAGAATTTGTGCTACTCAAAATTCAGAATCAAACTGAAGTAGACAAAATTCCTGAGAAAATCACAAAAGTGGAAACTTTAAGAGAATAAAGACAATCAAAAAGAGGAAAAATAAGCCTTTTTATTACAGAAAATCTCTCTGCACCTTTTATTTTAAAGGTTAGAAAGATCTTCAGGTATTTTATTGCCAGTTCTTCTTCTTTTGAAAACTTTTTTGCCATTGGTATCAAAAGTATTACTTGACTTTTTTTAGTCACTAGAAGTCAAATTTTTGAGTGAAAAGATTTGTAAACAAGAGGAAAAGTATAGAAGTAACTTTTGGAGTTATACTCCAAGTTGTTTTAATAAAGGTATTAAACTTTATTAGCAAAAAAGTATAAAAACTTCTTGCAAACATTTTTTTTGTGTGTGATTAGAGAATCAATAGAAAAAGTTTAATTTGTACATAGGATCTAATATGAAAAGAAATAAAGAATAAATATATATATATCTTTTTTAAAGAATTTTATAAAAAAAACTTTTTTGTCAAACTGATGAATCAATTTTAAGTAAAATATTTATAAGAAAATTAGATTTATATAAGCAATTATAATATATTGTATATAAATAATAAAAAAAAACAATAAAATATTTACTAGAATACTCAACTTATAAAAATTAACTATAAAAGATCTGAAATAAAGAAATAGATATAAATCTTAAAAAATTTAAAAAGCTCCTTTAAGAAAAAAGAAGATAGAATAAAAGAAAAGAATATATAGTTAATTATAAAAGATAGAGAATAAAACAAAAAAATAATCAAGTTAATAGAATAAACTTCAGAAATTAATCAAGAAACACTTAGCTTATATACAAGTTTAATAAAAAGAAACTTAATAATAGAACTGAAGTGTCGGAAAAATAAATTGAAAAAACAATCAAAAAATAAATAGTAAAAATGCAAAAAAGTATAGGAGATCAGTAAAAAAAAACAAGATAAAAATTAATTGAACTTATTAGTCAAGAAAATTAAAGTTATGAGAATTAAAGTAATAAAACAAGAAGAGAAAAGTTTAAAAGTTAAAAAATTAAGAAAGGTTCAAGTAAAAGAAATAAAATATGAAATAAAATAATTAAGTTTTGATAATTGTCAAAACTTATCAAGTGATCTATAGTAGTGACTTGTAGATGTTGAAGTTAATGGTTAAAAAAGGATTTTCAGCTAAACTACTAATGAAACAATAAATCACTTCCAAGGTTGTACTTAGAGTTAAATTAACTAAGACAAGTGAATTAGTTAGAGTTATTATATTATATTTGCATTATATTATAATTCGAAGCTATTTAATATATCAATCAATAAATAACAACTTTGCACCATTTTTCAAATGGTAATTAAATCCATTTATTTCAAAAAAATATATTATTTCTTAAATTGTTTTCTAATTTTCCATCACTAATCTTCAAGATAATCTGGTCGAAAAAAAAAAAAAAAAAACAAAAAAAAAGCATGCGTAGTTATATTTCGAAGGTATGACTATCAAAAGGTTAAGCTGTCTTATATTTATTTATTTATTAATTTTAAACGATAATTGTAAAAATAAAAATCTAACAAAAAATATGCAGACCATTTCCGCTTATTTGATAATGGTTTTGCGGGTTAATTTTTTGAATTATTTATTATAAACAATACTGAAATATTTCTCGAAGATCTATAAACCCGACTGCGGAATTGTTAATGTACTTGATTGCCAAGGCCTTTAGCCTAGCAAATTGTAAACGAACTGGGTCGCCTTAAGTAGCAATATATATATAAATAATAAAGGGATTAGCTTGATATACGCTTACTAAATTTCATTGCTAAAATGCTTACCATCATTTGATGAAATTCTTATTTTATCAACATCAAATAAATACGAATAGTAGAGTAATTGTGTGTATAACATGAATTCTGAATACTAGAAAGTTCAATATCTATGTTAACATAATGATCAAACACAATTTATATATGATTTTTAAGTTTCATTACCTCGTTTACCATCACTCCATAGCACCCGTGATTAACACATTTTCTTTTTGCGGTAATCATCCTCGTTCGATACCGACATCCTTTTTCTTCGCATACAAGCCAGCCATCATAATACCTTTTTACATGAGATCGAATGTTGCATGTAAGTTGAGTCAAAACCGACGATAGGGGAAGAGCACTTCTACAATCTTCATTTCCACAAATAACGCCTGACACATCGAGTTTACATCCCTGCAGCCAAAATAATTATTAATAGGTGTCAAAATAACAAGTAACCACGTGAAATATGTCATTTTCATCTTCACCTTTGCAGTATCAGAATTCAATCCTTCGTAAATGTGAGATTGTTTACATGCTACACATTTTAGGTATAACTTGTCGACATTTTTAAAGCGCTCTTCATCCGAAGTTCGAGATTCAAAGGTGCGAAAAGTAGACGGAGCGTTCGTCGTAAGGGATCTGGGCGAATCGATTCCTGTGTAACAATAAAAATTAGTAATTTTCAATTAACGTATGGCAACGGGTGGTTGTTTACCTAGGCACTCAGCAATGCGAGCGCTATCCGTTCCATCTATAGGTTCGATCAATCTGGTTACAGAGGCATGTACTTGTTGGGTTAAATACCATTCGCTATCTTGAATATATAGAATGTGTAAGCATAAGAACATAATATTACGAGGTAATTTCGTCGCATAAAGGACATACCAATTTGCAAATTAGTATCATGTCGAACTTCGTCCGGATGGAATGCTTTTTCAAAGAGATTATTAGGAGCATTCATGTCTTCAGTCTTTTTACATATAACATAAGGGATGGTATCTCCTTGTCTCGCGCTGAGTCCTCTTTTCTTCATTCGTAATGCAACTTGTACGTGCGGTTGACTTTTTGCGTCGGGGTAGTCTTCGGGTGCTTTTGCTAGAACCTACAAATTTTCAAGTATCAGGTTTGAATAACCGACACACCTGTCTCACTCATAAAACATAGATTGACTGGTAGAAACCTTGTGAATAATAAATTTGTTAATCGGAAATTTTCCCAATCGTACGTCGCGTCCCAGTGCTGACAGATGATTATGAATGTTTTCTAATACAACTTCGCGATCAAATTCTGATAAAATTTGATCTAACACATAACTAAAAAAATTTTCAAAAACATTAATCACACAAATACAACCATTATCATAGTAGTCAGATAATTAACACATACTGCGAAGCGTCTATTACTAATTCACACCAATCGCGCCTAACTAGGTCAAGACCTTTTGTTTCAGGAACCCTGTTTTTCGTTTTACTGGTGATCTCATCTACTTCTAATTTAATTGCCGCATACTTTTTCTTCTTAAGGAGCAACAGTTTCTCAAAGAAACCTTCTACTTCGATTTCGATCAGTCTATAACGTTCGTTTACTTTCTTCCTTAGTATCTTTCCAACCTCCATAGCTTCTTTTATATCTGACGCGTTAGTACATATCATAATGGAATCCGTGTCACCATATAAAACCTAGAAAATAAGGTATCCCATCAGTTTCGAAATATGGAATTCCTAATTTTAATCTGAGCCTATGTTACCTGCATGTTTTCGCTTTCCGCCAATTCAACAGTATTTTGCAAAATTTCTCTTCCTTTCGATGTGATTAGCATGGCCAAAGGCTTCGCGTAAAATCTTGAAAATTTTGTTCCTAAACAGCCATACATACTGTTTGCCGTGAGCTTAAGGGCTCTTTGTCGAACATCGTACTATATAACATGCGATAAAGAAGAAAAAAAAAGAGTAAGGAAAAAAAGGTAATGGATGAAACTTCTTCATCTATCATATCTCGTCTTCTTACTTGATCACGTTCACTCGCCGAGATATTAGGGCTCTTCATGCATTTCTTAACCTGCCTTCTTCGCTCAACAAGGTTTGCAATTAATCTGGGAAGGACTCCCTGACTCATGTCGGTGCCAGGTGCCTCCGGAACATGATCTTCACCTCCCTAGATTATTTTTGTTGAATAGTAAAATTAGCGAGTATTTTACTATAGGAGATCGGTTCTTGTCCGGTCGACCTACCGGGTCTGTCCGTACAACAGTAGTGAAGCAAATGTTATATTCTTGTATGATTGACGGATATAAGCTGTTAAAATCCAACAACACAACAAATTTGTCGTAGAACCCGGTCTTCGGCTCTAATACAAGGCCCCCAGCATAAGTCGGCTTTTTTCGTGCTCCCTTTATATTCTCCTCTAACAAAATATTAAAAAGTTATCCTATAGACTCGAAAGAAAACCGAAGCAATTTATTTTAAGAATATTCTACCTTCATCATCTTCTCCCACTATAGCCTTCGATTTCGATTTGTGGGAATATTTGTCTGGGCAGATGTACTTGAGTTTATGAAATTCATGTAGTAGAAGGAAGTCGTTGCGATTTGCTCTCGCCCCATTAAGAGTTTTTGACCTGACATATGACACATCGTTGTTCGTTGAGATGGCCAAACTGTTCACCACGGCATAATCTGCTCAAAATAAAAGATAGAATATCACATACCATATATTACCGGAAAGATTCGTCAGTTGTTTTGTTAGTGGAAGGAGCTGAAGTTTAAACATCAACTCTGATGTGAGAATGGAATCATAGCGGCAATGAAGTATCATATCATACAAGGCTTCGGCTGAATCATAGTTAGATGCAACTTTTTCATAATCAATATCTTTCCTGGTTATGTTCAAGTGTGACGAAACGAGTTCCGTCAGTGAGAAATTTTTGGATTTAATGAATTCCTAGGACGCGAACAAGTTGTTAGCATAGGATTAGGTTCATAAATTTTTCAAAGTGATTCTTACCTTCGCCGATTGATATGTGTCGCAAATCAATCTACCGCTTACAATGTCCTTCTCTATGAGCGAAGAAAGGTCACCCTTACCACTCCCGACATGTAGTAATGGGAATCTTTAGTAGTAGTTATGTATAAAAATGTGTCGTTAAAATTTATTCTTTACGATGTTCTCGAACTTTAATCAATAAAAAGTGCATCGGGCGTGAGATTTACGTCTGTCGGTGAAGTCTTCCAAGTGATGACCAATCTTTTATCTTCTGCACCTTCATACGATGCAATAAAACATCCAAGTCGAATCCAATGAAATTATGTCCAACAATAACATCAGGATCATTCTGCTTGATAATAGCTAGGAGGTAAAAAGGGTAATGCTAAGTTTAGGGCAAAAAAAAAAAAAAAAAAAGATACATTCACTTATGAAATATAGACCTAAAAAGCGGTTTAATAGAGAAAATTCGTTTTTCTCCAACGTTAAATGCAATTGATCCTTTCCTCTCATCACCATTTCTTCGAACTTAACAGGCCACCACGGCTTATCATTTAATTGACGAATAGACGTGAATTGATTAGCCTGAAGACATTTAGTCGATATTGATCCATCCAAAAAAACTACAGTTCAAAATACGTTAATGATCGAAATAGGCAATGCTCTCACGAATAATACTATTACTAGCGTAAAACATGCCTTTAGAGTAAACCCGCGCGCTGAACGCAACTACCTCGTTCACGTGTTTCTGATGATTCATCACGGTACGCAGGCTCAACGACATAATTTTCAGTGGTGGTGGTTTTAATGGTTCTGATAAGTCCACCTCGCTCATTGGATTTATGTGTTTTGGATTTTCGATTGTCAGTTCAACTTTGCACCAAGAGATCTAAAGATTTTAGATCTTTCGATATTAATTAACTCGTACTATCCTGCGGCTATGTAATGATGTAGAATACCTTTTTCTGTGTGATCATAGCATTTTTGACTTCTAACCAGCATGGACCTCTGATTCTTCGTTTGATCAAGAACAACTCGAGGGCAGACGACTGTGTGCCAAATACACGGCTGAACGTTTTTCCACTCAAGTCACTTGGCAAGGATTGGGCTAAAAATTGGTCAAACGACTTTATTATTGCAATAATTGATACATAGAAGTACCATGTTATAAAAAAAAAAAAAAAAAAAAAAAACTTACCTTCAAAAGAATACAAGACCTTCAAATAATCAGATTGCGCGGGGACGTCCGGTAATTCAAAAGCGTATTTTCGAGTCACATTCTTCGCTTCGATCTTCGAAATTTTGTATTTTTCTCTAATTTCTTCAACCTCCTTAAAGACATCTTCAAATCGAACCTCAATCTCGGTCTCATTATTGTTCTCTAGATGAAGAGGATTGTTAACTATTCAATCATTAAAGGAAATTATTCGAGTGTGGGATCACATTCAAGAGTAACTAACCGTCAAGTTTGAAATTTCTTGGTAAAAAGAAAACGTTTCGTTTAATACCACGCACTATGACGCAACAACTTACATACAGACTGCTGTTCTTATCGAAGATCTAGTAACCATGAGTTAAGTCCCATTAATTTCGTGATGCTTTTTGACACGCGAAAATGCATAATTGAAGCAAACCTTTCCGAATAAATAAACAATCCCCTGTTTTTCGTATGAATCAATCCAATAGAATTTGGTAATGTCGTCACGATTGGTGTTCCCATCGATTTCCTGATCTTTCAGGGGATTAACGTTACCGACAGTCACGGTGTCATTAATGTGTGCGTAGTCGGTGTACTCGATTTCATCATTTGCGAAACGACTCATGTTCTTCCGATTGTTTTCAACTATTTCCATCGGAATATTTTTCTCGCTTATCGATGGTCGATTAGAATTGTTAGAATCGTTGCGGTCAAGGGTAACTAGCATCCCCTGGTCTCCCTGTGGCGGATTAATACTGTCAATACTCACGACACCGTCTGTATGGACGCTGCCGGTGTATTCAATTTCATCATTTAAGAGAAAATCGAAATCCTCTTGATAGTCGTTAACTAAATCCATAGGAGCTGATTCTGCAACTTGACCAATTTTCCCATTTTTAGATGACAGATCGATAGGTATACAATCTCTTGCAGAATAATTTTGGTCATTCTGATCGTTCATGATAGTATCACTGCTTTGCGATGATATTCTAACTTCATGCTCCTTATATGAATTGTGATTATAGGAAATTGGAATCCGCGTAATATCCAAATCTTGATCTCCCGTTTCATCATCTAATTCTTGCAAAAGGTTTTCCATAAAGGTTCTCTCTTCTTCCGTGGTCTTAACCTGCAAGCATCGCAAACATTCATCACCTTGCATAATTAATTACATTAGCAAAATAAAATGGTTCTTACCATCTTTGGTTTTAATAATTGTGTGGCTGCACGTTGGAAGAAACTATTTATCCTTTGCTCTGGTCTAACTAGATCCGATGATTTTTCGTCCGCCATCTTTCTAGTTCTTGTTCTTTTTCTTTTCCCTGGGAATTAAACACATTTTACTCTTATCCAAAAATTTCAATAAATTTTACCAAAAAAACTATTGCTCTTCAAACCATCTTTCGTCAGTGACTCGTCATAATCACATTCAAGTTCAGATTCCGATCCTTCAGAGTATTCTTTTCCCAAATCATCCTCCGCATACAAATAAGCTTTTCCATCATCGTCCTCGATGAAACCATTTGTTTTCAATTCTTCACGAATACGAGATTGATATTCTTCTTCATTGACCTCTATATAAATTTCACCCTCTTCTTTAATCTAATAACAATAACAAATATAAGAGGGCGGAAATCAGAATGTTACGTGTATTTGAAATAAACATCACCTCATATTCCAT